ATGTAAGTCAGAACTGGCATCCAGATTCAGCCGCTGTTGAAACTGATCAGTTTCAGCAGTGGCTGAATCTGGAGGCCAGTTCCGACTTACATACAGATTCAACTTAAGAACAAACCTACAGTCCCTATCTTGTACGTAACCCGGGGACTGCCTGTAGTATTAGCTGACCTTTTCTCCTGCTATGTAATGGTACGTGGAGAATGTTAAAGGGTTCTCAAATCCAGATTCAGCCGCTGTTGAAACTGATCAGTTTCAGCAGTGGCTGAATCTGGAGGCCAGTTCCGACTTACATACAGATTCAACTTAAGAACAAACCTACAGTCCCTATCTTGTACGTAACCCGGGGACTGCCTGTAGTATTAGCTGACCTTTTCTCCTGCTATGTAATGGTACGTGGAGAATGTTAAAGGGTTCTCAAATGTGTTCAGTGTAGCATTTGAAATAAAAATAAACACTAAGGATATTAATTTTGATGACATTATTTTTACCCAGCAATGATGGGGTAACTTTCCACATTATTATTTTGTTTGACACTTCTAATTCAAAGTCATTACCAGGAATTTTACTACAGCAATTGCAATTTTCTTTGCTATATCAGGATCAATTTTTCCTCTATCACAACTGAGGACTAATATTTCAGATTTGTCTATGCTGTGTTTTATAATATATTTTCACAAATTCTGCCCAAGTATCATAAGGAAACTAGATGACAGATATTATATATATATATAGGTTGTACCTTCAAAATCCGGGAGTCTCTGGGCAGGCAACATCTGGACCATGTATGCTCCTGGAGTAGAGCGCCTGGGGGCTTATGGGCAGGAGGACCAGCCGGGTAGGACCTCAGAGCCAGATCCCTCCAGCAGCCCAGGAGCATTGGGACAGGGCCAGAACCTCACAGCTTCCCCTGCCTGTGTAGGACCAGGCAGGGGCTGCGTGGGGATGAGTCCAGGGCCCTATAGCTTCTTCCATTTGCGCAGGAATAGGGCCAGAGCCCCATAGCTTCCTCCAGCTGTGTGGGGCAAGGGCTGGAGCCCCATGGCTTCCCCCTGCTACATGGGACCACGGCTGGGGCTGCGGTCAGATCCCCAATCCTACAGCTGCTCCTGGCTGCACAGGATTGTAGCCCCAGGGCAGGAGCTGGAGCGTGTACCACCCAGGGAGCCAGCAGTAGCTGGGCAAGGAGCCCAGCCAGGTAGGGGAGGGGAAGGCAGGATTGCCTGCTGGGGTAGCCAACCAGCTGATGGGCTTGGGGGGCCAGTGGCAGAAGACCTCCCTTGGTCCAGCAAATTCTCTTGTTTGGAACCTTCAGGGGGTAGCCGAGTTAGTCTGTCACAGAAAAAAACAACAAATGGTCTGGTAGAACTTTATAAACTAACAAAACATGTAGATGGTATCATGAGCTTTCGTGGGCACAGCCCACTTCTTCAGATGACCGGAGTTGAGTAGGGGATAGGAAAACTTTTAATAAATAGGAGAGGGGAAGAAGAGGGGGGAGAAAAAGAAAAAAAGGAAAAAGGAAGGGGGGGGGGGGAGGCAGGGCACCATTAAGTATCTGGAGAATGGGTATTTAAACATAAACAGATCAAAGTAAATAGATAGATGCTAAGACAGGAAGGATACCACTCACAGACATAGTTTAGGTCCCAATGATACCAGACCGGAGAGGTCCAATCTGTAGTTATTTAATATGTATATCTGAGTTGTGATGAGTTCTCAATGACTAAGATGCCTTCTATTATGCACATTATCTAGGTCAGCAGTTCTGTAAATATATGACTAGAAATTTTTAAGTCAGGTTTTTGCAGCTGTAAATATCATAATGACTGTTGGATGGTTTATGCAGCTGTTAAAAAGAGGGTGAGTGCATTAATTAAATGTGCTAATGGATTTATTTTGAAGCAGAGAAGAGATAAAAAATGAAATGAAGCTGCAGTTAGGAAGGGGTCTTGTTACTGTGCTCTCTTCCTTTGTATTCCCTATAATAAGGGTGTATAAGAATGGCTATCTTGATGTCAAAACACACATTTTGCAGGTAAGAACATAGCCGCTAATGAAGCGTGGAATTTGCTGAAGTGCAAAACTCTATTTCTGTGGCAGAATTAGGAAATGGAAAGGCTGTGATTCAGCATATAACTGCATTTGGGATAGAGCATCTAGTTAGTTAGCAAAAACTAATTTTAAAGAAAATTGAGTCTGCAAAGTCAAACACTCAAAAGTTGGTTATTAAGGTTGCTTGTTCCAGTTTAATTTGGTCTTCTTGTGCATATGGATTATCATGGTTTTTAATTTTATGATCACATACTATTTTTGTTGCAGAACCCCTTCCTTATTCGGTGCAGAGAGTGGACTATGCTCAATGAATGAGCACTTATTCAGAATTTTGTTGTATCCTCATTATTCAGTGTGCCTTATTTACTGCACACTGTTCAAACCCTGCTCTGAATACAGAATTATTAATTTCCTAAGGGGCTCATTCCTACAGCATCTAAGTGTTTCACAAATATTAATTAAGTTATCTGCACAAGATCCCTGTGAGATGCTTATTACTGTAACAGCTGAGTCCTTCACAAATATTAATTAAGTTATCTGCTCAAGATCCCTGTGAGATGTGGAATAGTATTATTATTCTTTTTACACATGGGGAACTGGAGCACAAAGAAATTAGAATCAAAAGTATCTACTAATTTTGGGTGCCCAAATTTAGATGCCTATGGCCTGATTTTTTTTCAGAGAACTTAGTATTTTATGGTGCTTTATTTGTACAGAAATCTCTACAACAAAGGATAAATGGGCAAAAATCAGCCATCAGAAATGGTAATGCACATAAACCTGTAACGAAACCTGCCTGGTCATAGAATAATAGGACTGGAAGGGACCTCAAGAGGTCATCGAGTCCAGCCCCCCGCCCTCAAGGCAGGACCAAGCTCTGTCTACACCATCCCTGACAGATGTCTATCTAACCTGTTCTTAAATATCTCCAGAGAGGGAGATTCCACCACCTCCCTTGGCAATTTATTCCAATTCATTCAATCATGTATTTTAAAATAGCCATTCTTCTACAAAGGAATTTCACTAATCAATTATAGAGAGAGTCTGCAGAACTGGAATTCATCTATAGATTTGACACTGTTACCTTGTGCTTGAACAAAGGCTAGGTCTAGACTACAAAGATAAAACTACAAAGCCTTTACTTCCGAAAGAGGCTTTTCTGAAATTTGGCCTGTCTACATGGGGCCAAATTTTGGAGAAAAAAACCTCTTTTGGAACATCCCTTCTTCCTTGTAAAATGAGATTTACAAGGATGCCGACAAAACGTGTCTGCTTTGCCAACATTTTTTTTTTCCGGAAAAGCGAATGCTTTCCATGAATGCGGCAGAGCTTTTCCGGAGGTATCCCAGAAAAGCTGTGCAGTCTAAACGTTAACTGGTTGAAAATAGCGAATGGTCCTATGGCACCTTAGAGACTAACCAAAATATACAGAATCATGAACTTTCATGGGCAAAACCTGCTTCATCAGGTGAATTGGGGTATGACTACACTACAGAGTTAATTCGAAATAACAGATGTTATTTCAAATTAACTGTAATAGCTGTCTACACATACAAACCGCTATTTTGAAATTAATTCGAAATAGGGGAGCCCTTATTTCGAATTAGGTAAACCTCACTCTACGAGGAATAACACCTAATTCGAAATAGCTAATTCGAAATAAGTGCTGTGTAGACACTTATTTCGAATTAGAGGGCCTCCAGCCTTTCCCAGTTCCTCCTGGTGGCCACTCTGGGCCAAACCAGGAAAACTCCTCTCCTCTCACCCAGCCCCTGGGCACTTAAAGGGGCAGACTCTGGCCACTGGGCACGTGCAAGAGCCAGGTCTGCCAGCAGCCGCAGACCCTTAGCCAGTG